GATAATAGGCCTTGATTCTTTGTTGGTATAGAATATTGATATCGCCACTGTTTATACAGGTGTCGACTGGGTACTTAGGGTTAAAATGAAGGGAGGGAGGGAGGGAGGGAGGGAGCATCAGAGAGCTGAAGGTGTCCACCCTCTAAACTATTCAGAATTTTGCCATCTAGTTTCGAAAAACAAACTTCTGCATGCTACGCCTTCGCATTTCTTCCGATGAACTATAAGATCCCCCGGATAAATACACGCATGGCTGTGGTTTTGATACATAAGATTAGATCTCGCATTAATTCAGGTTCTGCAACATGCAATTTTTTAGTGATTAAAAGAAATAGCTCTTGCTGGAATCATGATCAAATATTGGATTATATGTGAAACTCGGAGGAAAAGAAAAGGGCATAGCAGCATGAGATCGATAATATTTCTCGGATATAGGAGTCAAGAGTGTATCTTCAGGCCCAATTGAAACACACAGACCCTCTTCATGATCCTCTTCAAGCAGATTTCTACGAATAATTATCCTCGAACTGTCACGAGTTTTTATCCGTCTTCTTCTTCTTCTTCTTCTTGCCGAAGTCTAACTAGGGCATATGATATGGAGAAAATCCTTGTTTTTTTTTACCTTCTTTATCATACAAATCCATGAGCTCATAATATACACACATCATTAATATTCCTTCCCTACATGAAGAAACAGGAAGAAGAAAAAGAAAATTGCATGTCCCCTCGAAATTTGATCACCCAAATTTCTGGTTTGCACTGCTATTTAACCACCCAAAAGAAGTTATTGGAGTGAAGCATTTTATAACTTAGGCTGTGTTATATCATTATTCTCATATTCTGAACATTGGTCAGCAGTACTAGAGGCATTTGATGGCAGTTTGATGTGGTCTCTGCCTGTGGCTGTTGCAACATTGAAGTAAAGCCTGGACCAGCACCATTGTCTTGCTGACAAGAGAAGTTACTATGTTCTTGTTATGAAATAGCCACTAAAAATAGGTTCTAAATTTAGCAATACATTTTTAGCAGTATCACATAGAATTTCAAAGATGCCTAAAGAGAGGGAGAACCTTTACTGCATCCTGCTGGGAATGAGGCTGGAGGCTGAAGGCAGAGAGGAGATCAGTTGATGACAATGATGAAAAAGCTTGGTAACAAGTTGGGAAGACCTCACTGTTCGAGTTGTTCGTATTGCTTCCTTCCATGTTGCAAGGATTTGCATTTACATTATTAGTCCCATGAGACAGTGCCTCAAAATTTGCTGTGGAGGATTGGTTGCTAAGAAAAACAAAAACCAGTTTCATCAGTAGCATAAATATACACAGATTTCCTATCATCCTCGTACCAAACTTCCAACCGTTATTCACCTCACAGGAACACAAGAAGGTTGATCAGATTCTATGCGAACATAACTGAGGTTGTTTCCATTTTCAGGCACAAAATGTCTGTATATTTATGCTACTGATGAGACTTGCAATCTCATTTTCAAAGTCTGGCATCCCCCCCTTCTCCATCTAAGAACACCAGCAAATTAATAAGAGATGAAGTGCCAAGAGCTTCATTTTCTTAGTCCTAATTAATTAATTAATTAATTATTCAAGTAATTCAAGATTGATGCCAATTATGCATCAAAGTACAATTGTACAATTGATTAACTGCAAATTTGACGGGTCATACGTAGATGTTGGATTACTCGAGATGTATTTCTGCAGCAAAGATTAGAGTCAAAATGGATATATAATTATCGTACTAGTACTTGGCATTTTGGAACATAACACTTAATCAATCATTTAATTTCAAGAGAAAAAAACACTAGCATTCTCTCTTGAAGACGTGCCATGGTATCCAAAAGAGTCTTCTCAAATGGCTCAAGGTCCAGAATTGATGTAAATTTCAGGAGGTCAGCCTCGCATAACCTTTCAATTAGTTATTAAGCAAAAGACAAAAGAACACCAGTAATTTGAGATCGATACAATACCAAAATGACAACAAAAGTGAAGAACTGGAAAACTTTTGTTGTTACACTTGTCTGGCCTTAACCGTTCCTCGGCCATATAAAGGTGAAGTTGCAGATTACTAACTTCTAGCTGGAGTTCCTTGATTTGTACAAGAAAAACCAAATCCATAATTGTGCTCTATGCTGTAAGGAAAAAAGTTTCCATATCCATAAGGAAATTCAGAGGCGAAAAAACGATAGGTGGTTTTAGTTACCTTCATTTTTAAATTCATAGCATGATCAGGACCACTGGACAAAATCTGCAAGTAAGCAGGCAGCAGGTGCATGTGCATGAGTTCAGGAGTGTTTGGCTTTGGCATTGAGGTTGAAATTACTTTGAATTTTTTTTTAACTTTAAATTAATTATTTTTTCAATAAGGGCTCTTATCCATATCCAACGATCAAAATTCCTCCCCTCCAAAAGAGTGCTTTTGTTGTTCAATCCACCCTCCTAACTTAACCGCTTTTTAAAACCACTCACCTTACCTCAATTGGATAGACTGAGCTGAGAGCACAACAAGCTACAGTATACTGCCGAAACATGGCAGCACTCTCTGCTATAACATTCACAACCTCAAAAAACCTCTTCAATTCTAACAAACCCACTCTCACTTCCAAACCTACTTCACCATTTTCTTGTCTTTCTTGTTTGTCACATGACAGAGAAACAAATCTCTCATTGAAGTCAGTTTCTACGACAAAGAAGTGCATTCTTAACGTGGGTTTGGGGCTTTTAGCTGCTTCTGTTCTTGCTTTCTCACCATTGGATGCTGAAGCCACTAGAATTGAGTACTATGCTACGGTAGCAGACCCACCATGTGATCTTAGCTTTGTTCCCTCTGGCCTTGGTTACTGTGATATTTCTGTAGGGTCTGGTGTGGATGCCCCATATAATGAGCTCATTAATGTGAGTCTAACAATTCGGGAATTTTGCTAATTTATTATCTTGATTTTTTTTGTTTCCCTGAATTTCGCTTTATTGAAGTAGTTATAACGAGCTTCAACTAATTAATGATAGTAATTCAATCTGTGTCTAGACTTTAATAAGCTTTTATCTGTTCTTGAACGGGTCTCTCATGTTTTCTGGGGCAATATTGATTGGAGAATTGGGGTGTGCTTTTTATTTTCTGTAATTTTGAGGCTTTCATGCTGAAGGTATGTAATGGATCTAAATAAACCATGTGCTCAGAAATTGTGAAATAATTTTGATAAAGTACTTGACTTAACTGGAGTTGTGAATAACTTTATCCTTAAAGGTTTAGGTTTGTTTGATTCATGATCTACCTATTTGATGCATTCTGGTCATGAAATTTTCCTTGAAGATTCAACTTGTTTTAGTACTATTTCAGCTTTTTTTCCCCCCTGCAGTAGCACCTATAAATAATCTCACCGGAAAAACAACTAGTAAATACGTGGAAGCATCACAATTTGTGTTTTTCTTTCCCTCCCTCGACACAGGTCCATTACACTGCAAGATTCGCTGATGGGAGAGTCTTTGACAGCAGCTATAAACGCGGCAGACCTCTCACTATGCGCATTGGCGTTGGTAAGGTGTGAAAGTATTAGCTAGAATTATCAGTTTGGTTCCATTTTCTTCTCAAACATGCAAGTGGAAAGATTTTATGTTGAACTCCTAATTTACAGCCAATCAAGTTAGAGGCTTGTAAGACTAGGGTCTAAACTATTTGCTATCATGTATTTGCCAAGTCACAGCTCATGGTGCTCTGTAGAGATGTGAGTTTTACTACTTTTGTCTTCATCCATAGGTTACATTATCTGCATGCCATATTAGTTACTTGATATTCTTTGCTTAGATTGGTGATAATTTATTCCTTCTTAATCTAATGGATGATTGCGGGCGGATCACCATATTCCATACTGTCCCCATGTAAGGGTGGATAGAGTTTTCATGTACAATGCTTAAAAAAATATTTTTGATACTGCTCAGTACTAGCATTTTTCTGTGAATCCTTCTATTGTAAATCGTAATGATGAAGGATATTAAAGAGCTAAATTGAATCTTCCATTAGGTAATCTACAACAAGAACTTTTGAAACTTTTTATGCGACTTTTGTGAATTGGGATTTTTCTTTCATTAAGCTGCTCTACCATTCTTTACAAAACAATAAACAGAGAATATCAAATATCAAATGATGCTGCGTATAATTTCCCCACATACATCTACATCAGACAACTTTATTTTACATGGTTATTTATTTGTTCAGGTCATTAGAGGATTGGATCAGGGAATTCTAGGGGGTGAAGGGGTGCCCCCAATGCAAGAAGGTATGCTTTTGAGAACAAGAAAAAAAAAGGAAAGAATTCTGTTAGTTATTTTGTTCTTTGTATTTATTCTTATTTTCCCAGTGGTTTTGTCAAACTGCTGACTTTTCACAGGTGGAAGACGCAAGCTATATATTCCTTCTCCTTTAGCATATGGTCCAGAACCTGCAGGATGCTTCTCAGGTGATTTTTTCATATGAAGCATTCCATATCATTGAACATTTAAACTACTCGTAGGTATTTGAGCTTAAAATATTCCAAAACAGATGCAGAGTACAGGTTTAACTTCAGACAGTCAGGCATAAGAAAAACTATAAATTGTTTCTTTTTGTTTCTCCATCCTCCTGCCTTCGAGTTCATGTGTATTGAATTTGCAGCGCAGCTGTATGGATTCCTTGTTTTATTACTGTTGGTACAATGGCTAATGCTGTTGATCTATATTGCCAATGTCTTTTGTCATTTAGTTTTCTTATGGCCACAAATTCTGCATCAAATGTGTGGTCTTCCTCGTAATGTATCATTGTCATGATGTTATATGCTCACTAACATGACTGTTTTTGTATAGCTAAACTGTTCTAGTGCATCAGGATAGAATTAGAAGCACTAATGCATTCATCCAATATTTGCACTTGTTACCTGGAAACTAACTGCCATTATATTGTTTACACAGGAGATTGCAATATCCCTGGCAATGCAACTCTTCTCTATGATATTAATTTTGTTGGAGTTTATTCTGGGAATAGGAGTTTACCAAAAAGATGAAAGTCTAGTGTAGATCATCAAGTGAGTTTCCTCTCGTTATCTTGGAAATGATGTCTTGGATTGATGCTGGGATCGGAATCCAGGAACTTCTTGAACTTCCAGAAGCAGCTTTTTTTGTATACACTTGACTCAGTTATGAGATCAAGAGCCTCGTAGGTTGGTCATGGCTCATGTATGGAAATTTACATTTTGAAGAAGTGCATGATAGAGCATATTCTTCATAACCCCCTCCTCGGCATGTCATAATCTCTCTGAACTTGATAAAGCGATAAATCCTACTTTTGGGGATTTAAGTAGTAAAAACATAAAAAAGGAGGATTATTTCCTGTTTGAGTGCTAGAAAGTACTCAAATGGGGAGGACAATGGTTTGTGTATGTAAAGTGACTTAGATTAATGGTGGTCATTTACGCATCCATTTTTCATTATGAAGTTAAAGGTCTCCTTGAAATCTTGGAAAACCTGGGGAGGATGAGGTCAATTATGCTTATCAAACAACATTTTCTGCTAGACAATGCATGCTTTAGTTGCAGGAGAAGACAGGAAGACTAGTGTCACGTGTTAGGTGCAGATTTTGGTTACATACTATGATTGTAACTGTGTTATAACGCTACCTAAGAAGATCACTAAAATATAA